GTAGGCCTACTATATTACCGTATTTCATTAGCATCCTGCTTGCGTTCAAGCATAAATATTCCAATAAGCTAAAATACTTATCGATCCATAATTTTACATTATTTTTGACAACCAATTGACTCCAATAACAAATACTTCGACTTGTAACATTGCAAACTGCGTGTCACGTTGGCACCCCTGAGTGGGCGTGGCGTTGCTCAGCTGGACCAATAGCAACCCTTGTTACATACTACCACCCTCTCCCCCACTATGTCACCCTCAGTACTACCCTGACTGTGGGCTTGCGCGCACGTCGATACGTCGTCGTCACGTCCGATATCTCAGCTTTGACCTTTGGCCGAGTCTCAGTTAATTTGTGGATCAGTGACCTCCTAGATAACTGATAAGTGTAGGAACTCTCCGACAGTGACGTCATGAAGTATGATAGAGTTCCCGGTGCAACGTCCCGCCGTCGACCTGCTGTCCGGCTGCAGTAAATACCCTTACCATCTTCTGTGTGAGTATTTGTGACGTTTAGTATCATTTTATGATGTTAGATGAAATATTTGTACCTTACCTTAATTTATCATTCAATACACAATCTGTGGCTCGTGAATATCATGAGGTGGACGAATTTAATTAGAGAATTTTTCCGATTTGGATGAACTGTTTTTATGCGTTTTGCGTTGGAATTTATAGATTTTTATTTGTGAAACGTCATTAACGTAATTAAGGAATTGTTTTGAATTTCATTAGAGAATTTTTCAGATTTGGAATATTTTTTTGAATATTTTAATAAACTATTAGCCAATCTAATGCGTTGAACTTGTTAACTGCAAAACACAAAGTAATCTCGTTCTTCATTTATTCATTACTCCAGCATCATTTTTATAGCCTATTTAATATTTATAAGAAATTAAAAATGAGATTGGTTATGCCAACATGGTTAAATCCATACCAAATATGTAATAGCGTAAGTTACATAAAATTGGTAAACTAAAATTATGAAATTTTGGGCATTTTTGAAGTTAGTGTTATCGAAAGACCTTGGTGCAAACACGTTTTTAAAAACAATTTTAAGTTTTGAACAGAATCAAGCCAATTGATAATACCCCCACCGCAGCAAACCTGCCGACTAAGTGAATTCCCATTTGCCTGAATTGATTTTCAATTCAATTTATTTAATAAACATTAGGTTTTATGAGTACCTAGACTTGCTGCTACAAGGAAACTAACAAAGTGTGTTTTTTAGTAAAATATTAATAGCTTAGTATGTGCACAATTAAGCTATTCTAGCTGCGCTGTAATCCCATGGTTACTTAAAGCCTGGCCCTCTATAAAAAAATAGCTTAATAATATACAATTAATAAATCAAATCAAATCAGTTTTATTTCCACAATATATACAGAATTTACAATTTTTCAAAAAATACAATACGAATATATATAGTAGTCTTGAAGCATTATACAGTACAGTGTTTACGTAAAATAATTCAAGTAAAATTAAATTTATAAAGTTATAATAGTATAAACTTAAATACTAGTTGAAATATGTTTGCTCCGGCTAGAACAATAACTAATGTAATAGGTAATGGAAATGAGTCTACATAGACTTCAGTGGTCTGTGCGTAGACTCGAGTTGTTAATTTTTTTAGCTAATTTTCAATTGAATAAAAGTTTAAAATTAAATAAAAAATTACTATGTGCTAATAAATTTGCCAAGTTTGATTAAAATATATCCATAAACAAGCAAACTACAACAGTTTACAATATTCTCCATAAGGATAACATGGGAATTATGAATTTTAATTTTTTTATTTTTCTCCGTAACCAATAACCGTACAAAACACTCCGATATGATAAATTATTTGTTTTTTTAAGCTCTTCATAGAGATCTAGAGAGAAAAATGGGAAATTTGGGGCTTTGAGGGTTAAAAATGAGAAACCCATTTCCATCCCCCCATAAAACCTCTCGTAAAACCCCGGTCCCATGGTCCGATCTTGCTGGTTCGTGAACTCATTCAAGTTTATCCCACCATAAACATTCAAGCCAAATTTTATCAAAATCATACAAAATTACTCAAGTTATCGCGTTCACGGACACATAATACAACAAAGTACAGTACATATAAAAAATATGAAGAATAGTGTTTTTGGCCTCTGGGGACATCAAACTGAAACAGTAAATCGGCCCCGAGTCTAGGACTTTCCGTGCCACCTACGGTAATAGCTGCTTCCCTGGAAATTCGCTAAAAGTAAACGAAAGACTTGTAACAGGTGATTATATCAAGTCATCCACTCCATCGTATACTAGCTGATTACGAAATACAGTACAAAGGGAAAACATAAGTTGTAACTATTGAGCAAAGGTTACACTGAGGATTACTCGATAGGAAATAGAACAAGTGTTGATGAGTGTTTCGTGTTGGTGCCGTTTGAGTGCACCGGCGTTAACTCAATTTAAATTTTCCATCATAATAAAGTGCAAATCCACTGAATCTTAAATAATAAAAGCCTAAATTAGTTGTAAATGACACGTGAGTTTCCTTTATATTGCTTATAGAATCGAAATAAACTATACCGAGCCATGGATCCCCAGGTAGGTAATGACATTTTAACGTAAAAAGTATATGATGAAAATACACAGTTTTATCATATGAACGAGATCAATTAACGTGAACTTGATGATTAATAGATTATGTGTATAGTCTATTTACATACCTATGTAAACTATATAACGATAACTATATACATCGATCTGCCGTTACACATAACGCTGATGCACTGGTAGCTTATTATTTTGCTATTGGTTCGAAGAATGTGAAAAGCATACTCATTAATAATAACTTACGAGTATATTTCTAACCATAAGCATCACATAGATTAGTAAACCACACAACAATCTAGGTTACAGTTTGAAAGACTTTGTATGCTAGCGATTGAAAAAAAATGTCATCTCAACTGAACAATAATAATTAATTGAAAGTCGCAATATTAGTCTCGAGAGATCAGTAGAGGACAATTTACTGTATATATAATCAAATGTTACCTATATGAACCATCCATAAACACCTATATGAACATTGTAAATAGCTAAAAGCTCATCAAAATAATCGTTCACATCCACACATCCAATGTTTTGTGTGGTCTCATCACTAAATGGTGTAAGCAAAACTGTATGACCAATTAAATTTCATTATAGTTATTTACAAATAAATTAAAACCAACATTTCACCACAAAAATGGCATTGACAAACGTGCTATTTGTCAAGAGACGACAACAGTTAACATGACAAAACAAAAATAAACAGGATCACTTTATGTTTTCTTATCAATTGTTAATGCTTTCGTAATTTGTGTAACCCCTTAACCGTCCCCCTAATAGTTTTGTAGCCTGTAGATATGTAAATGTTATTTTGTAGTCCTTAACTACCTGTGGCTGATATTACATTAGCCAAATATATTTGTTTATATTGTTTCACCACATGGGCTTCAAATAAAGAAAAGTAAGATTCAATGATAAAGTTGTATCTTTATTAGGATGGTTGGTAAAATTTCTTATCGTCTGCTTGTAAACGTCTCTGATTCTGTGCTGAGGTAAAATTGTAAAATTATATTTTTTGTTTTTGAATCATAAAATAATTTGAACCACTCGTTAGAAAAAATATGAATGACGTTTAACGTAAATTTACACTTTAACGTTTGATAAAGCTCAGATTTAACGCAATTCCGAACAACTCCGATAACAACAAACAACTTTTAGCCACTAATCAATCAATATCTCTCCACTAAGAGATTTTCTAAATGCAAATAAAAACCGAATCGAGCTCTGATTGGTCGTATAAAGTTAATTTAATTGACTACGCCGACTGAGCATTGAGCATTGAGCTGAGCAGCACTCTCGTTACAGACTTGTTAATTATACTGTAACCGGGAACGCAATCACGACTGCATCTGAGCAATCAGTGATTTCCTACAGACATGCGCAATCAAATTGTCTCTAATTTTAGACTAATTGTTTTGACTAAAGCGTAATTCCCGTACTACAATATGAGATACGGTAATTGGTTTAATCATGAACCCATATGAAACCCATAGTTGGTAGTTAGTATATGAACCCATAGTTTTCATTGGTAAATATTTTATCCGGACTACTTACGAATACCGCTCAAATTATTTTAATGAATCAAAATCAATTTGAATGAGCAATGTTACACGAAAAAATAAAAATCATCTACAATAAAATGGCTCTTTTTATTAATTGTCTTTATAAATAAAACAATTTGTTTAAAAAAATTTTCTTAATCTTTTTTTTAAAAACTAAATTTTTAAAATTGTAATCGTATATATTTAGTTCTGATTCTGAGACACTGTTTAATTTTTTTCTTTAGAAAATTTAAGTCCAAATAACAATAATGTCATGAAAACAAAAACTATCATTGAAAGTACCTACATAGCACTTCAAAACACCGCACATCTTTGGTGTTATCACTTAGGCAAGAAACGTAATTTGCTTATTTTTATGATCCATGCCAGTTCTGTTCAAGTTTGTGGATACTCCCCAGTCTGCATAGGTGAGGAAGTTTCGTTGAACAGCCACAATGACTCCAGTTCCAACCAGCTACCGACATACGATGCGCTTTTTATTTCTTTGAAGAAACCATTCAACAAAACAAGTCCATCAGTTAATCATGTAGTCAAGACAATAGGTACATAGTCAAATCATAACAAACTCACAAACATAATCTATGGTTAGCTCAGCGATTTAATCAAGGCAAACAGAAAATTAACCTAGTTTTGCATAATTATTTGCAATACACCCGATATAGTATGTATAGTATGTATTATGATAGTTGTGCTATTTTATTCTATAATTCTTGCCAAAGAATCATCTGTGCCTGTTATTGTTGTATTCATAATATTGTATTTAGATTTGTCTACACTTCGTAGTGTGTTGGTGTTGTAGTATTTATTGTATAGATTATCTTCAGTTCACTTACAGGTTTTTTTTTCTGTTTCCAGCCAGCATACCCAAGTGCGGAGGTTGCCACGAGCTGATCTTGGACAGATTCATCCTCAAGGTGCTGGAGAGGACGTGGCACGCGCGGTGTTTGAAGTGCTCAGAGTGCGGAGGCCAGTTGACCGACAAGTGCTTCGCGAGGAACGGCATGGTATTCTGCAAGGAGGACTTCTTTAAGTAAGCACTTGGAATAAGTTAAGTATTGTAATATATGTTTATATTAATTGTACAAGAAGCAGCATTTGATTTTATAATGTTGGTTGCATTCCAGATGTTAAAGACTTTTGTTTTGTTCTGATTGTTAATTTTGTAAATAACAATAATAATTGTGTTGTGATTGAAATGGAGAATAAAGTGAATACACTAGATTTTATCTTGTTCTTATAAAATATTACAATGGCGCAGTCAAATTAAACGGACCTCGTTCCGAGTGATAGTAAGTCTAGTAAAAGTAAAGTTTTTTTTTATACCAGATTCTGAAGAAGATAAATATAAACTTCAAAAAAAAAAAAGGGAGGTAAACTTAAAGACTAAGATGTTAGGAATAGGTAAGATTGGTGAATTTAACCCACAAGATGAGTCCATTGAATCATATGCAATGAGGCTTAAGCATTATTTCAAAGCTAATGAGATTGATGACGATACTAAAGTTTCTGTTTTAATAACTGTTGTAGGCCCAAAAGTTTTAACAATTTTGTCTGATTTAGTTTCACCTGCAGCTGTAGATAGCAAAAGTTATGAAGAGTTAGTTAAAGTGCTTGAGAACTATTTTTCTCCAAAGAAATTGGTGGTAGCTGAGAGATACAATTTTTATTCTCGTGTGCAAAAACCTAGTGAGAGTATTTCAGAGTTTGTTGTAGCGATTAAACATTTAGCTAGTTCATGTAAATTTGGCACATTCTTAAAAGAGGCTCTTAGAGACAAGCTTATTTCAGGAATAAGTAATGAGGTCATAAGGCAAAAATTATTGTCTGAGGATCAAGAATTTGATGAAGCTTATAGTTTGGCACTCAGATTAGAGCAGGCTGAAAAACAGACAAGTTTGTTCAATCCAAAACAGGAAATTTGTCATTTAAATTCCAAGCCCGATTCTTCACATGTGAATCAAAATAGGCAGACTGGTAGTCATTTCAATTCAGCTATTGGTGCTGGTATGACTAATATTAATGCTAAATTTAAGTGTTACAGATGTTGTTCAGTTGAACATAGGGCCAATGAATGTCCATATGCAAATTATAAGTGCAATGGGTGCAACATGGTTGGGCATCTACTAAAAGCTTGCCGAAACCAAAGTAAAGTTGCAAAATTTGGAAGGAAGGACAAGTCATGTGCTAATAGAGTCCATCAAATCTCCGAAGATGATGTCAATGAGCTTAGCTCAAGCTGCAATGAAGTTTCAAATAATGTGTGTTTGTACAACTTTAGATTAAACACAGGTATGGCAGCTTACAAGGTAAGGCTAACTATAGAGAAGGTTCTGGTGGAGATGGAAATTGACAGCGGGTCAGCTGTATCAATTTGTCCTTCAGACGTTTTTAATGAACATTTTTCTCATATTGAATTAAAGCCTGTTTCTATGAAATTGCGAACTTACACAGGTGGTGACGTGCCTGTTCTAGGTCAAGCTGAGGTTAGAGTTTTATATAAAAACCAGAACCTAGTGTTACCACTATTGATTGTTGAGGTTTGTCGTAAAGACCAGCCTATTTTGCTTGGAAGGAACTGGTTAGCAAAATTAGAGTTGGATTGGCATGCTGTATTTTCAAGATCGTATGATACTACTGGTACTAAATCTAAGTCTACAGTGAATGTTACCACATGTGAATTGAAGCAATCTAATTGTGAAGTTGTGTTGCCTAATGGCAAACTTGAGGTTGAAGTAGAGGCGTTAAAGAAAAAATACAATGCAGTGTTTCAAGGGGGGCCAGGAGAAATAAAAGGTGTTAAGGCTCAAGTCACTCTCAAGGACAATGCTGTTCCTAAGTTTTGCAAATTTAGGCCTGTGCCTTACTCGTTAAGGGAAAAAGTAGAACAAGAATTAGATCGGTGGGTTGAGGATGGTATAGCGTACAGAGTTTCTAGTTCAGAATGGGCTACTCCGTTAGTTACAGTGCCCAAGACTAATGGTGTCCGATTGTGCGCAGACTTCAAAGTAACATTGAATCCGGTGTTACAGACGGAACATTATCCATTACCTCAACCTGAGGATATATTTGCTTCTCTGTCTGGTTGTACATATTTTTCAGTTGTGGATCTCACTAATGCTTATCAACAATTAGCTGTTGCGGAGGATTCACAACCTCTGTTGACGTTAACAACTCACAAGGGACTATTTCGACTAAGACGTCTGCCATTTGGACTTTCTTCAGCTCCAGCTATATTTCAAGCTGTGATTGATCAAATTATAAACGGATTACCAGGTACTGTAGCCTATTTAGATGATGTTTTGGTTGGCGGCTCAACAAGAGAGGAAGCCTTTTATAGATTGGAGAAATTGTTACAGCGTCTTATGGAATTTGGAGTACAAGTTAATGGGAGTAAATGCAAGTTCTTACAGCCTGAAGTGGAATATTTAGGCTACGTCATTTCAGCATCAGGAGTCAGTCCACAACAAGGTATTGTTGAAGCTATTCAAAAAGCTCCCGAACCTACTAGTAAAGACGAGCTAAGGGCTTATGTTGGTTTAATAAACTATTATGGAAAATTTATTCAAAACTTGTCTGCTAAAATTCATTGTTTTTATGAACTGTTAAAGAAAGATGTTCCATGGAAATGGACCGAGCAATGTTCTCAAACATTCAAAGAAAGTAAATCTTGGGTTCTGTGTTCTGATGTTTTAGTACACTATGATGTCTTGAAACCTTTAGTGCTCACTTGTGATGCTAGTCCTAAAGGAGTTTCTGCCATTTTGTCCCATATCATAAACGGAGAAGAAAGACCTATAGCGTTTGCATCAAAAACACTGAGTGCCAGTGAGAAGAACTATTCACAGCTCCACAAGGAGGCGTTGGCACTGATCTTTGGAGTGAAGAAATTCCATAAATACATTTATGGGCGTACCAATTGTATTTTACAAAGTGATCATCAGCCACTAGCAGCTATTTTTGGATCGAAACGAGGGGTGCCTAGTTTAGCTGCTGCTCGCCTACAACGATGGGCCCTGATTTTGTCTGCCTACAATTTTGAGGTAAAATATCGGAAGGGTTCCAGTTTGCCTCACGCTGATGCGTTGTCACGCTTACCACTACCCGAGAATGAAACTTTGGAGTTGGATGAAAATTATATATCTCATGTGGAATCTTGTGTAAGAGAAATGAACTTCTTCAATTCGGGGAGTGACGATTCTCCAATCACTTCTTTAGAGATAGGACAATTGACTGATAAAGACCCACTGTTGTCTAAAGTTCGGGATTTTGTGTTGTATGGGTGGCGTGAAATTGTAGACCCAATGTTAATTCCATTTCAGAGAAGGAAAGATGAATTGTCAGTGGATAAAAATTGCATTTTATGGGGCAGTAGAGTAGTCATACCTAAGAAATTGCAAGGTAAAGTCATCCAGATATTGCATGAACAACATCCTGGAATTACTCGAATGAAATTGTTGGCACGCAGCCACGTGTGGTGGCCTGGGATCGAAAAAGTAATTGAGGATGCTGTGTCATCTTGTTTGATTTGTCAAAGTACAAGAAATGCTGCTTCAAAAGTTCCATTGCAGCAATGGCCGTTAACTTCAGAGAGATGGCGCCGAATTCATATCGATTTTGCTGAAGATCCAACCACCAGACAGCAAATGTTGATTGTAGTGGATAGTTTTTCAAAGTGGATGGAAGTATTTTTAATGGGTTCTATTTCCACGGGGAAGACCATTGAGAAACTTCGTACACTATTTTCTGCTTATGGTTTACCTGAGGAGTTGGTGTGTGACAACGGCACGTCTTTTACCAGTCTAGAATTCAGGGAGTTCTTAGAAAAAATTGTGTAAAACTAACATTTTCTCCACCATATCACCCTGCCTCCAATGGAGCAGCCGAGCGTTCTGTTCAAGAAGTTAAGAAAAGTTTGTTAAGGCAAGTTTTGGGTGAAAAATCATCTCAGCAGACATCACTGCAGTATAAATTGGATAACTTTCTTTTCGCATATCGTAATACTCCATCGTCAGTAACCGGTGTGAGCCCGGCTGAACTGTTCTTACGTTGGAAACCTCGAACAAAATTGACTATGTTAAAACCTAATCTACTAGACGAGTCAAGGAAGAAGCAGGAAATGCAGAAACGAGCCTCAGATAGGCATAGAGGTGCGTGTAGATTTTTTAATGAAAATCAGAAGGTGTTGGTTAAAACAGTCAGACAGGAGAAAGTTAGTTGGGTTCCAGGTCGTATATTACAGTGTAAAAGTCCAGTTACTTATTTGGTTAGTGTTCTTGGCAAAACAAGAGTTTGCCATGCAGACCATCTTAGGCCAACTGAGGTAGAGGAGGACGAAATCATTGTGCGGAAAGAGGAAGTTGGAAGGACTATTGAGGCACATCAACAAGAATTCAATAGAGATTTGCCTATTCTTCAGGAGTCTACATCACCATCAATATCAAGACATGATGCTTCACCTTATTTGCCTAGATTGAAGTCTGATGTTGGGAAACCACGGGGTGTACAATACAGTCCATCTACAGTTTTGAGGAGATCACAGAGGACTGTGCACAAGCCGGAGAAATTGGATCTATAAAGTTTGAGAAGCCAAAGAGTCAGAAGAAATTTTAAAGTTTTAAAGTATTATGAGCCATGCAAATTTTAAGTGTTGGCGAGTGTAATATATGTTTATATTAATTGTACAAGAAGCAGCATTTGATTTTATAATGTTGGTTGCATTCCAGATGTTAAAGACTTTTGTTTTGTTCTGATTGTTAATTTTGTAAATAACAATAATAATTGTGTTGTGATTGAAATGGAGAATAAAGTGAATACACTAGATTTTATCTTGTTCTTATAAAATATTACAAGTATGAAGTATGAATAGCCTAACAGACATATCGAAATTGCCTTTTGAGTGAAAATGTGGAATGTTTTCTCTCTTGGTGGTTTCAGTGTCATGGAACAACATTGTGAAAATCAAACTAATTTTTGAAAAGGTTATCCTTGTGGACTATTTTGCATTTGCCGGTCCACATGTGTCTCAAAGCATTGGACATAACACCATAGTTCTATACCCAATATGGACGTGGTACGTGTAAAGCAACGCAAGGAGTGAGCCAGTATAGTACAAGTGTTATGAGCCGTACTGACAGAGACACTTGGACGCAGACCCACGTCATCGTTGCCTTGCTTTTGCAGCCCGTCATACAGTGTACTAACCGAGCCACCGACTCACCGATTAAAAAATTGAAACAAAATATTATTGTTTTTTTCTCAACTTATTGCATACAGCGTAGTCATTACATCGTTTATGTCTGGCCATAAAGGATATTTGTCCATTTGATCTTTTAACATTTTCCTAAAGGCTGACTTTTGACCACTAACCATTTTTTAATTAGCCTACCATGCTGGAACCACTCCAACCTTGTTACCGATCCATTTCTAACATTATTCCAACCCAAGCAATTATCCTTGGCCACCCCTGTTACTTCTTAACTAAACTTGCCCATCACAACTTCGACTTTCTTCTCCGCCTCGGTTGAATCTCGGAGATTTTCAGGAACGTTTGTTACAGGAGGTTCGGCACGAAATGCGCCGGCTGCGAGCTGGGCATTCCGCCGACGCAGGTTGTGAGGAGAGCGCAGGACTTCGTCTACCACCTTCAATGTTTCGCCTGCGTCATGTGCAGCAGACAACTCAACACCGGCGATGAGTTCTACCTGATGGAAGACAGAAAACTCGTGTGTAAACCCGACTACGAGGCTGCCAAGACGAAAGGTAAATCATATTTTGCCTATAAATGCATTGGGGTACGAGGAAAAACATGATTTTATAATGTGGCCAGTTAGAACGTTGTCAATTGCTTCTTGTCCGGATAAGTATTGCGGTTACAGAAATAAATAGTCATACAGTCCTTTCAATATTAACTGGCCCTCGTTATAGGTAGCATTTTCTCAATCCATATTAAGTGTTAGAGATCGTAACTCCACAGTTGTTTTAGACTTGGCTTAGGATTTGGTAATTATATTTTCATCATCTTTTGTGTCGTCGTTAATGGTTTTTCTCTTATATCCACACCTTGTGGTATTGCATCTCCTTTTCTTACCCATCCCACGTTTCTTAAAGTTAACATCCCTTTCTAGAACTATACAGGGTGATTCAAAATGAATGACCCAGTTTTAACGCTTTATAACTTTTATACTATTAAACTTACCGCCATAAAATGCACATCAAACAAAAAAGCAACTCAAAGAGTTTATGCCTTCCAAAGACACATCATTTAACAATATCGATCCAACAGAACTGTAGATTTTATTGTACAAAGTTAAAAAGTAATCTCCAACTTTTTTTACCACTAGAAATTTGGAGGTTACTTGACGTTTTTGCAAATAACTTTTAAATGGTGAGGAAATCGACCAAAATGGAAGGTAATATTCCGAAAGAGAATAAAATGTCCTACAATCTACTATTATGCATTTTTTTAAATACTTAAGAAAGGTAGGTACAAAAAATTTCCTCAAAATGAAAGAAAAATTGAAAATCCCCGTCTTTAATGTAGACAATAAACATAGCAAACATCAAATTTCACAATTTTTTATTTTAAGCCAAATTTAAGCTACATTTATTGAGTATTTTCAAGAAATGCATAATAGTAGATTGTAGGAAATTTTATTCTCTTTCGGGATATTACCCTCCACTTTGGTCGATTTCCTCACCATTTAAAAGTTATTTGCAAAAACGTCAAGTAACCTCCAAATTTCTAGTGGTAAAAAAAAAATTGGAGATTACTTTTTAACTTTGTACAATTAAATCGACAGTTCTGCTGGATCGATTTTGTTAAATGATGTGTCTTTGGAAGACATAAACTCTTTGAGTTGCTTTTTCGTTTGATGTGTATTTTATAGCGGTAAGTTTAATAGTATAAAAGTTATAAAGCGTTAAAACTGGGTCATTCATTTTGAATCACCCTGTATAATGCGTTTCCACACCTCATTTTGTTACAACTGGCTTTCTCTTATATTTTGACTGTTGACATTACAGACGGCAGTTGTCTGGACGGAGATCAGCCCAACAAGCGGCCGAGGACGACGATCACTGCCAAGCAGCTGGAGACACTCAAGATGGCCTACAACAACAGTCCCAAACCTGCCAGACACGTCAGGGAACAGCTCAGTCAAGACACGGGTCTGGACATGAGGGTCGTGCAAGTCTGGTTCCAGAACAGGCAAGTCGCCTTAAAATTGCTTATACACTTTTTACATTTATTTTGATGCCATATACATCGTGACGTCATTCTTAGATTTTCAAGCAGAGGCATTTACTTTCATATTTGTTCACAAATTTCAGATAGTAGATAGTCACAGTAAAAGGTGTATTAGGCAAAAAAAACATGCTTTCCAATAAATAATGTTAATTGTCTCAATGCAACTGTAACAATTCCATACATTCAGATTCATTTTATTCATTACTTACAAGTATTACTCAGACAACCACTTTACTTCAAAATTTGTCAGGAACACTAAAACTCCAGTGATTTAGCCAATGCGAGTGTGTGCTGTGTGCGAGCTAGGGCTTCACTTCAACAGCTGTTTCAACACAAACCCTGCCCTCCTGTCCCCCACGGCCTTTCGTTGTTCCCCCCTGCTTGACCGAAGGCATGATCTCTGTCACAAAGGTGTACAGGGATTACAAGAGGGATTGTGTTGGGTGATCATTGCATTCACAGTCCACTGCACATTCACCTGCTTCAATACGTTTGTCAGTCTGTTGAATGACAAGTCCAGGCTGCCTGCCTCTACCTTGAATTTCACTCCACCTCCATATCCACCTACACTTTCAACGCCATCTCATTCTGCACCTACGTACTTCTTCCTCCGCCTCCATCTCAATCATCGATTCCACCTTTATATACACTTCCACCGTCCCACCTTCAACTCCTTCTTAACCTCCACATCCACCCCTATCTACCACGATTTACTCCTCCATCTCTACTTCTACCTGCATATTCATCTCCACGGCCACAATTTCTTCTCTTACCTCCACCTTAACAGTTTACCTCCATACTTCTCTATTTCTACCACTTTACCTTGCACATTTGTTGATCACTTCAAATTAGCATCGTAAAACATGAAGAATTCTCATTCGGGAGCTTTATTCGTATTAACTGTATTTAATACATAACCAATTTGTATCAACACATACAGTTATGCACCACCACTGTTATAGTTCAAGGAGTGGAACACATTAGTTTTGCAGGGATAGTTGACGATTTACGTTTTCCACAGGAGAGCGAAAGAGAAGCGGTTAAAGAAGGACGCTGGCAGGACGAGATGGAGTCAATACTTCAGGTCCATGAAGGGCGGAGGGTCACCGAGACACGACCCCAAGGATGAACTCAAAGTGGATCTGGACTCGAACTTTAGCCATTCTCACGGTGAGTACTACTGCTTACCACTAGACGTACATAGACAACAGAATGAAAATTGATACGAGTAATATGTGTGTTCGGATTGAGATTATATTGGTATTCTCGTCGAATTTGTCAAGTATCAAGTAAGCCTGCCATGTTGTAATTTGTATTTTCAGAAAATGTAATGCAGCCAAATTTTTTTTATTTTACCTAACCCACCATGTTAAACTTCCCTATCCCAAGCGTGATGTATATAACTTCGTTACTTCTCGAGTGATGTAAAGTTGAAAAAAACTCACTCGGTGATGTAATGAAACCCATTTAAATAACATTGAGTGGTTAACTTAAAAATTATACCTCTATGGAGCCAACGACGTACAACGCTAGAAATCAGCTGTGAGCTTGAATTTTATTGTTATGTTTTGAAGATTTTTCATAACCTAGCTTTTGTTTGTAAATAAACGTTACTGTTAGAAGATGAGTGAAATGGATAATGAAAAATATTGTTCGTAACCTCCTGTATATTGTCGGGTCAGGTAAAATCTTGTACGTTACACGTTACGCAAGAGCGTGTTTACATCACTTCGGTAAATTATGCAACTCGCTTCCGCTCGTTGCACAACATTCACCTGCGTGATGTAAAAACGCCCTTACTACACTTGTAAGGTAAATAGCTATTATACGATTTGATTTAGAGCTTATATTTATGTGACTGGATCATAAAGGTTTGCCACATTGTCCTCTTTGGGAGACGGACAGCGTCCCAGATCTTTGTTTGGGTTAATCCCCTGATTTGTGGCCTGAGGGTAGTGGTCACCGGAGGAGGGGTGGGGAATCGAACCGGAGGCGTTAATTTTTTGTCAAAGATTTCGCTTAGATTGCGATTACTTCTTAACTGTACATCTTTTGTTAGAATTTAAGGCGTTTATAATTTTATGATCAGAAATATTTTTCGATTAGTAAACCTTTGCACGATTTTTCCATTATCAGCAAGTTTGGTTGGTTTGGTTAGGTTATGACAGTTTAATTTTACAATAATTTAAAAATTATAAAACTGAATTTTAGGCATTTTTAGTTTTATTTTATGAACAGAACTATTTTTTTTATTAAACCTTCATTCGATTTTTAATTATCAGCAAGTTTGGTTAGTTTGGTTAGGTTATGACAGTTAAATTAAATTTAAATTTAACCGACAAACGATACGTTATGACAGCGACAGTAATAGAGCTAACAATTTGAAGCGAACAGTTCGGCTATGCACGGTATGATGCGGAAGCGTTCGACACCAACCTAGAACTGACAGGTCAACCGACCTTGATTAAGAGGATTAAGCCTGGTGCATGTGCCTACACCCGTCATCTTTATAGGCCTTGAGCAAAATAAGATGGAATGGAAGCATCTCTAGCTGGCTATTTATGAGTATATAGCACTGCAATACTGCAAAACAGAGTATTGTTTATTAAGACTTGTTGTAGGAAATATTTGCCACAAAAATTCTAGTCCTAGGATTATTTATATGAAAGGATAGATTGTGCATAGAAATACTAGGTCACAAATGGATTGTGTAGGTACAGTATGAAGAAGCAAAGATATAATGTTGAGATACCAGAGAAAAATGATACCTATGTTAATGACATTATCACTTTCATGAGTCGACTGCATTCGTTATGAAACTGTACAAACACTATAAGTTAGTGCTAAAAATTGATTTTATCATTATTTTTATGTTTTAAAAATCTGTTGAGGTGAAATATGTCAGTATATTTAGTTTACGTAAAAAACACACATTCCCTCTCAAAAATTAACACACAAACACTATTGAAACGTACATTACTATACGGGACACATCCAATACAGAGAGAACACAGTAATTATGGTAAAAGCCTACAAGATGCACTACACCGCCATTTGTAGGATGACTGATAGCGATCACCCCAGGGTGCGTGACGAGCGCCACAATCAGCTGGAGTGCCCCAACACGCTTCGCACGCGTGCCGCACGTGTGACGAGACCTCACTCATCGCATCGGCCACCTGTCGCGGCTATGCGGCTTCTCCCGCGGGCGGCAGAGTTGAAATGTCACTTTGAAAATGTCATCAATATTTTGTTTTAAATTGTGATGTTCGTTTTTTAAACGATGTTTTGGTAGTTATTGTTGCCGAATTAAGTATTTTATCCTTGATACCAACCTCTTTGTCAATATAAAGTATTGTTTTAATTAATGTAATTAAAATAAGTTAAATGATTTTTTCTGGATTTTTTAAAGGACCACAATTGCCGAAAGGGCGAAAGAAGTGATAAAAATATATCTACTGCCTGCGCTTTGCACTTTCTTCCATTTCCATCGCAGGAAAATCGTGTTGTAACACCTAATTTTTAAATATTGATTCAACGTAAATATTAATTTCGATCAAATAAGTAAATCTTTGGGTGAATCAATTCGGGTAAATCTTTAACCGACATTTTGAAAATCAAAATTATCTCACGGAAGAATGAATGACAATACGTTTAAGAGTGACATTTAAATATAACTGAAGAATGTTTAATGTTAGCCAGCAAGGTTTTCTAAAACTCGCCTCCGTAATGATTAGGATCCTGCTCAATGCATTTTCCCCATTCTGGCGTTTCGCTTTTCAGCCAGATGAAAAGTCTCGTGGATCGAGTCAGCCGGACAGATGAATAGTTGTACCCTGTAATCAGGGCTGCCGGCTATTGTAGGGAGTCAAAGGTCCCCCCAACCTCCCCCCCCCTCAGCCGCCATCTTTAATCAACTACCGTCTCGAGGGAAGTTCCGCTGATCTAGGGGAGAGGGGAAAAGGGGATTCTCAGCTTTGGTTCACTGATTTTCCGAGAGTAACGTCTTTTGCCTTTCTTTACTATCTCTATTCCTTTATTTTTCTTTATTTCAATCCACACAAACTTGCAAACTCGTTTATTAATTCGCTGAACAGTCAACATAATAAAACAGTACGGAAGGAGATAAATAAGACAAAGATAAACATTGATACAACAAGTAATAAAATAGGAGACATCGCTAAATGGGTAATAGCATTGATTATTGAGTCAAAGGTAATAGCTAACAATAAACTATCAACAAATATCTGCAGTGCTACAGTATTATCAAAGCTTCTACATATCTTTGGGCCAATGGGGTCCCAAACAAATTGAAAACAAATCATGGACTATTTACAGATGATAATACTCGATGGCGAAGTATTGTTTTTTAAATTGTACAAACGCCTGCACAAGCCAAATGCTGTCCAGTACACTTTAGTGTTTGCAGGTTGCGTAGCGTACAATGAAGCCAGCAAGAGCTTGAAATGCCAATTCTATAAACAACCGCAACCGTTTGTATTGACTATCTACGATAAGTTTTCCAATATGAAAATGTGAATACGATATTTTAAAATTATTAATAACAAAGAACTGCACTTTTAAATGGAATGAAATATTTATTTATGGGGTTGTTTAAGCAAGGTTGGGTATACAAAGAAAATAAGGGACGTGAAAGCCAATATTTTAAATAAATGATTTTTAATGATGCCTAATATTTGAAATACCATAAAGGAAGAAGTGTCCTGAAAGGGTAATAGTCAAAGGTAGTAGGTAGTAGCCAACGCCTAATTAGTAGAGGAAAATGAAAATAGTAACCTATATTTTTGTTAACTTTTACTATCAGTTATAGTTTTAAAACTAATCTATGCATTAGTCCTGAGCTACTTATTTCTCTAAGATAATCATTATTAAAGATAACAAACACAAAAAAGTTACTTAGATGTTTTTGACAAAATTTGTTAGACCTATTATATATGTTGTTATAGCATATTGAGGCTTCATAGTCAAAGATCATACTTATAAAAAAATGTCTTAAAAGTTAAGTTGTGAACACTACACTGAGCACTTAGAAATGTGAGTGTGAGGGCACAGACAACAGAAACAAAAATATAATTAAAGTATTATGTAAATGGAAACAAAATAACTTAAATCCTGGGATGATCCCTTTATAGTTTTGTTATTTATTACCTATGACTTAGTATAAACAAAAAGTGTTGTTTGCACAGAGAAGAAGGTACAGAGAAAACACTACTAAAGGGCCAACCAAGCCCTTTCACTGGTATGTTGTGCTGGAAAAATACTTGAGCGGTGAGCACTGTGCGGAAATTCCTATGGCACAGAGGGTCTTCCTCCACTGAGAGCTTAACCCTAGACACCAGCACTAGCGCTAGACACCACTTAAGTGTACCATGGAGTTGATCTGTTACGTACTTCTCTGTGGGTATCGTTTCATGAGCGAGTTCTTTGAACGAAGCAATCTGTTGACAACAGGTTACTCCTGTCCTATTTTGATCAACCCAAAGTTACATAGTATGACAGTATGATGCTAGTGTTTACAATATATTTACTTTTATTGTATGTTCCAGATCTAGAGAGTAATGACAGTTATGGCACATTAGCGCTGGAAGGGGAAGGGGCGAGTCCTCACTCTAGGTATCTCCATGGGGACACTTCTACTCCTCCATACCTCAGCTCTCCATCCCATCCCCTACCATACTCTGGTGAACCCTACCCACCTATAGGTAAGACTATAATTATACACATACTATTGTTTTACTTTTACTTTTACGAGCTGTTGGCCTGTCCTACGTACGGGAATCGAGTATTCCATTAAAACTGTATATAGTGTTTCTATTACTTATTCAAGCATAGTTTAAGCAGTTCAAAATTTATAGTAAAGAAAAAGCTGCCAAGATGAATTAAAACATGTGATCATTGTAATTTCCCAACCTTTCCTCAAAAAGTCGAGTAGTAAAATAATTTTCATAAGATTTCTTTTGAAGATTCATGAGCTTCGATTTGTATACAGCAATGGTTATAGAATCTTACTTATTTCCTATAATCAATGACAAAATCACAGAGTAAATAAAGTAACCTCATTGTTCTATAGAATACTTTTTTATTCAACCAGCTGTTATAGTTATAACAAATTATATTTCACTAAAACAAACTAAATATTTTAAGACTGCTCAAAAAATTAATTAGAACATCTAGTATTTTACTATGTATATTTAAATAATCTCTCATCCTCTTACCGAATAAATTAACGAATCAATGATTATAGCATTACACATGGTATAAATAAGTCAATTCTACATATGTCATCTTATTTTCATCCAAATGCTGAATTTATGTCGATAACGCTGAAAGTTTACAGCTGTTATGTTAAGCAAATGGTATCATATCAAAAGCTAGGGTAAATTGTTAGCGTTGGCTGCTAGACTTTTTAAAATTTAAAACTTAATTTCTAAAAAAACTGAAACCCTAAACTAAAATTATGGCTTCAACATTCCTTAGTTCTCAAAATTATCTTTCTTTCAACACACAAATCATTTTCTTAATTGACTAGCAGGCAAAACTTTAGTTGGTTCGTTGAAAAATATGATTCATACTCAGTAAACTTAATTTGTAGTTTTTTTTTGTTTAATCCATATTCCAATAAAACTTAAACAACAAAAACACTACAGTTTAAGTTTACTGAGTATAACCTTTGACTATTATAACCATTAAAACCAGTATCAATGATAGTTTCCTAAGTAGCTATTCTGTATTTTGACACTATTTATGTATGTTATATGCTACTTAAAATAAAGATTATTTGAATTTGAATTTGAATATTGAGCCAAAACTATTACCTCGCTGCTATTACAAACTATGTTAACAGTGTTAGGAAATAAATAGAACCATAACATGTCAAATTAACTCATTGGTCCCAGGAAAGTGTTTTTTTACCAGACTACAATGTCTTTAGGTTTATTAGAGGTCGAAAGCTCGTGCTGTCTATGCCATCTGTCATTGTTATTTGGAACCAAGCAGGTTTTTACATCCCTAGGGCCAAAATCAGCTGCATATTAAATACGCAATCAGTATCTATAGCATTGTAATAGACTTGTTTTATTGTCACAGCTGTCTAGCAACTATTTATTATTACTATTGTCGATTCCTTTAAATCATTTCTTCACACAACCTTAAGTTGTAGATGTGTTGACTGAGTGTGCATTATTATTGTGGTAAATAGTGGTATTAGGGTATAGTGTGGTGAAAAATAGCATTCCTACCGTGGACTGAAATAGTTTTGCAGCTCTTGATCGTTTTATCTTGAGCCGGTAAAACCTAATTTTCGGCCCTAGGTACAAAATATACTATTTTATTTTACCATTACTATTACCACTGTCACTTAAGAAGTGGACGCAACAGGCTTCAGCTTTTGTTACAGAGTAAGACCAGCGTTTTCTCTACCCAGGATATTTCTATAGCAGTCACTTACCACCACCATAACCCATAGTTATTCTTCCTGCTAACACTCTTTCTGCACCAGGTCCCGGACACCCGCACCCTCCGCCCTCAGAGATGTCTGACGGAAGCTCCACCCACGGCTACCCAGATTTCCCCCCAAGCCCTGACTCGTGGTTGGGCGAGGCACCTCATCGCTACTGAGATACGGCCCCCAACATCCAGCCTTTGGCTCCCAGGTTCTTCCCCCCAGGACTGGATGTTTTCAAGGCTAGAGGACTACCCTCGCCTGTACCCCTACGACCCATTGGACCTCTGGGGCCTCTAATACCTCCCACCGATCTCTCCCTGCCTGGACAGTCCAGCCTGTCTGTCAAAACGGAGAAACATTGAGAATGAAATAGAGTGCTGGAAGAGTTCCCTCTGTAGGGATGACTTGTGGAAAGATGCTCAGTAAACCTTTGCTTAACCATGGGTCAGTTTCCCACAAATCACAATGTACTTAAAGGTCTCAGTTTTGAAAAAAAAGTATTTTGTAGTTTTAGAATAGTAATTTATATTTCCTGGTATCTTACAGCGGTACCTTGTTCCAAAAAGCCAATCTTAACATTAAAACAAATTTGACTCATCTACTGTTTTTTTAAATCACTAACATAAAATGAATATGGATAAGGTAAGGTTTACTGAATGCATCCATGGAACAATTTAAGTGATTGAATTTTTGCGAGTACTTCTCAACAAGGAACTCTTTATAGGAAGTGCTCAGTTCTATGATTGCCAGACACGGTACTCGATTTGTGAGCACTCTATTTTGTTCCCTCCAGCGTGTGATAAACCAAACGGACTAACTAGCAGATTTAATTCCTTTGGATTCTGTGTCTTATGTAAATAAACACTGTCGTATATGTGTATATCAGCTTTATCTTATGATTAGAGTATTGCCTGTAAATTTTGGGAAACTTTGTGAGTAGAATTACTCAGAACATAACTGTTTGTTTGATAGTTATTTCATCTGATGACCGTTATTTCGTTATCAAGGGTAATTGACAGAAATAATAGTTATGACTAAAACACATACATGACTAAAAGATATATTTTTTGGAATCTATAAACAATTTTCAAACAACACCACTCTGTTGTTTTAACTTTACAGGAGCTGACATTTATAGTTTTTTTTTCAAGACCACTAATGCATTATAAATTAACCTTTGAGAATTAATAAAGAAACCTCTGTTATGAAAATGGAAAACTTTTGATCATCATGGTGGTCGAGTTTTTAAATTTGAAAAAATAACCAAAGAAATGTGCTTAACTTTATTTAAAGTATTTTAATACAGTAGAGTCCCCCTAATCTAAACTAATTGAAACCAACACTTGTTTGCATAAGCAAATTAACCTTTCAATAAGAGAAAAATGTAATCATATGATAAATTTATCTCTCTGCTGTGTTAAGAATTAAAAGAAAAGAATTACATAAAGTATTCTAGTATACTGCAATTTAAACTGAACTATATTTTGTAGTGTATGTGATCAAAGGTACAACCAATATGATACTAGGAGTTTTATTTTTATATTTTCTTCTAGTTCAGAATGAATTGATTGGATTTTAAAATTACAATTTACAAGGAATCAGATTAATATACCATACTATATTTATGGACAGAAGAAGGCTCACTAGGTAAGTCACAGAAGCTAAGAGATAGCTGAAAGTATGAAATGAAATAGGTGATACCCTTCTATTCTAGTCTCTTTGGTTGTGATCTTTAAGTAAGCAAAGAATGTACTTTAGTAAAGTTACAGAAAATGATGCTGAATGTGGTTGATTTATTTATTTGTGTAAGTTTAAATGATAATTTGTTAAATAGAACTCACGCACAGTAACACACAAACAAAAATTAATCTACTTGATAGTACAGTTTATACAAGCTCTTTAGATATTAGAGTATTAGGAAGACTTTTATAAATGGTATGAATTGTTATTCTTTAGAATGAATAGATGATTAAGTCATCTATACAAAAATTTTAAATTATACACATTAGTTTCTAATTCTAAAAGAACTTAACAATTATTTAGATCGTTTATGATTTTTGTATTCAAACTCATTATTCTATTTAAGTTTCGACTGATTAATTAAGTAACTTTTATCAGTATTTAAGAGGCCATACCTACATATCTAGTCAACAAGTTACCTTCTATACCATTAGACAACATAATAAATAAATCTTAGTTAATAAACAATATCTCAAACATACTACTATTATTTAAGTGGAAAAATAAGGTCATATAGTTAGTTAAAAGTTTAGAACGCCATTCATATAGATGATATGAAGTCAATTACATTATTATAAACATTTGCACATAACTCTTAGTTAATGTCTTAGCCAAAGTTTAATTTTCAATAAAAGGAATAAAATAAAATAATGAAAAGGAACAAATCGGGAAGATTATTTCTTTTAATTTATTTTAAAAATCATAACTCATTTTACAGAAAACATTCTACATTTTCAAGAGATGTGTTCACTGTTCAGGTACATTAAAAAAATCATCACAGACCTTACAAAGGCGAGTTTTACCTTTTTATTTTTTTTATAAATCATGTTTACTGTTTAGGTACATTGAAAAAAACATCACCTATTGAGATTAAACAGACTATTTCATAACTGTATTTTGTTATTGCATTTAAAGCAACTACTATGGTATTTGCTACAGAAATTGTTTAAATATTTTTTATCATTTGTTATGCAAAATGTATACAATGAAGTTTTCTAATTTATTATGATGCTATGTACATGTTAATGTAATGGTGTGTGTCAAAATAGAAATTCTGTGTTACAAACAGTTTCAATGTTTTTTCCCTGTTATTTGCTTACTATTACAGGTTATTTCCTTAGACGTTAAAGGAGAAAGACCACAAACTGCATGATAGGGGGCCCTGATGCTATTTTTAGGGGGGAGGCAAACATAATTGGCCAAGAAAATGTGCTTCCTTGAACATAATATTAAACCTTCTACCAAAAATAGAATGCTTAAAAACATTTTTAGATTAGTCTAAAAGCCAAAATTCTCTTTCAAAAAGGTTCATAACACACTTGATTGTTTTCCCAATTTAAAAAAATGTTATCAAATCAAAACTTTGAATCTGTTATAAGTGAAATATGAAATGTAATATCTTTTATAAAATAGTAAATAATGTAGGTAAAACATATCTGTTTTCCATTAAAATATTAGGATAAAAACTGTATAAAATCACTGTATGTGTATACAACAGACTGGCTGATTGTGAACAAATGCCAAACAAAATTCAAAACTTTCAGAATGTTACTATCTCCATCTTATTTGGCAAACTTCTCTCTCCCGTCAAGTATAAATTTAATGTTATTTTGGATCTTTCAAAACATTTTTGCTACAGACAGATGAATCATAACTAAATTTAAACCCTATCCTTACTATGCTGGCCATGTGCTTCTAGGATGTTGTATCCAGAGAGACAAAGCATTTTACATCTCTAACTGGTAAACTTTTCTACTAAGGTATTAAACTGATTCTAGCTTGTCTCACAGACTACAGCACATACCAGGGAAATTATTCATAGCAGTTTTCATAGTTACAATTTAAAATAGACGTTAGTCAAAGATTTATGTTATAATGTTCGCTACATCGGTTGGTACAATAAGTGTAGGCCCAGTGAAATTGTATAGGATACCTAAATAAAAGTTTAGGATAGCAAGTTTAAGTTGAATTAAAACAGCAAAACAAATCCTTAATCATATATTTTATTCAGAACTAAAAAGATTTTTAATTATATTTATATTATTTTAAGTGTTTGAATCCTCTACCGAGCCATGTTTGCTGGACATTTAAGGCCTTTTTATTTAAATGAATTTCCATAAGCCTCCTTAAATACAGCAAGCATAGACCTTTATTACAATTTTAAAATACGTATCAAAATATTGTTGTCGACACACTTGTGTTCAGTTGCTGGAAGACGAGTTATGCATCACATCTCCGCCTCTTATAACATCTTGTAGCTTCCGCTTCCATCTTCTCTCCAAATCTTTGTCTTCGTGCCACGACTTGGAATGAGGCAAATGGTCAAAATGGTCCTGACTCCTCATGTTCTGAAAATGCCAGATTTTAAGAAGCCCTTAACTAGGAGAAATCAGTTTTTTATTATTCTATAATTCAATTAGAAGTTTGACAAGAGAAAGGCTTCTACCTTTTACCTTCTACCTTCTGCCGTGAACTTTTACCAGAGAAAACTGGATTGTTCATGTCAATAAAAAATTAAAACATCACTTCATACATAAAATTAATTATAAAAACATTTAACTATCATTAATATTTACAGAGTACAAATGGCGAGCAGGGAGGAGAGTGAATCGGCAAAAAACTCGTCAATTGAGTAAAAAGCCATGTCCTTCAGTCACCGCACCAAGACGTTCAAAGCGGTTTTTCTCAAGCAGCCTAACTCTAGTTGGAAGCTTATTGAACATATTCAACGCCAAGTCCGGGAAGTGCTTTGAGGTCTTAACTAGCCTGCGCCTCGGGATGTCCAGATTAGATCTGCTTCTTACGTAGTGGTCATGTATTTCGGTTCTGGTGGTGAAGGAGGCCTCATGTCGCTTAACATAAACCAGCGAAACCAGGATGTAGTTAGACGGTACGGTGAGTATGTCCAAACTCCGAAACAGGGGCCGGCAGTGATCTAGGTAATCACTAGAGGTGATAATTCTCACCGCTGCCTTCTGCAGCAAAAGCAGTCCGTAGCACTCCGAAGCGTGCCCCCAAAGAAGCAGTCCATAGCTGATGTGAGAATGGAACAGGGCATGATAAACCACTGTTAGGTATTTGCTGTCAAGTAGGCTCTGAAGCTTCCGCAGCAGGATCAAGACTCTGGACAATCTCTTGGTGATCACATCAATGTGTTTATCCCAGGATAGCTTACGGTCCAGAGTGAAACCCAACAGTTTTACGGGATCAGCGGCATTGTGAAATTCTATTTCGCTGAGACTGCAGAGTAGTAACTGGGTTTTTGACTCGTTCAGTTGTAGCTTATTACACTGGAACCATGTCTTAGCTTGGTCGAAAGCCAGTTCCTGGTTAGCAATCAATTCATTAAGGTTCCGCCCCCTACTGAGAAGAGTGGTGTCATATGCGAACATTAGCACTCCCCCCTCAACACTAAGGTCGTTGATGTGTAAAATGAACAGTAGGGGACCCAGCACTGAGCATTGCGGTACCCCATAGGGTACAAGTTGAGTAGCCGATGTCGAGCCGTTAATAACTACACACTGCAACCTCCCATTCAAATATACATAAACATATTCTATAAGGTATTGCTACATCTATTACTTAAACAAATATTATCAGGCGGTGAGTATGGTAAGAAGAAACCTGATTGAATTGTACTATTATCAAATCTTGAGCGGTTTCAATAGCATTGACCTATCAATCAATTCATACAGTTAATATAAATTATTTTCACACCATATGTATTTGATAATCGTATTAAAACACTTGGTTTTCACGGTAGGCTATAATATGTAGATGGATTGAATCCTTGCTTCACAGTAGGAAGGTTAGGCTCTCACTCCATAATGACACTATCGAGGCAAGAACTACTCGAGGATGCCCTCAGGGGGGGGGGGTTCTCTCTCCCCTCCTTTGGAATTTGGTAGCAGATGACCTTATAAGGACCCTCAATGAAAGAGGGGTTTTCGCCTTAGGTTACACTGATGATGTTGCAATCCTTGTGGTTGGAAAGTTCCACGGAACCATAACAGACCTTATGAATAGAGCTTTAAGGGTAGTGGACCGTTGGTGCCAGGAAGTTGGGCTCTCTATAAATCCCAGGAAAGTTGTAATGGTACCCTTCACAAGAAGGAGGAAACTGGATGGGATCGGCCCACTAAGACTGCAGGGCACTGTAATAGAGCTGCAAAATCAGGTGAAGTATCTTGGTGTAATTTTGGACAGATCACTTCACTGGGGACCACATCTTCAAAAAGTCACTGAGCGTGGCAAATGGTCCCTTATGGCATGCAGGCGGATGGTAAGTGGCACATGGGGGTTACAGCCTAAACTTTTGCACTGGCTGTATGTATCTGTTGTTCGACCCGCCCTTACTTATGGTTCGCTTGTGTGGTGGCCAAAGATGGAATCTACTATAGCTGTCAAAGCTTTAGCAGGAGTTCAAAGGCTTGCTCTTATAATGATAACTGGGGCAGTAAGCAGCTGTCCTGGAGCGGCTCTAGACTGTCTGCTTGATATGCTACCTATCGACATTTACATCAAGGTGGTAGCAAGTAAAACAGCCCAACGCCTTAGATGCGAAAACTTATGGATAACCTCAGGAAACAATAAAGGGCACTCCAAAATTGTTCAGGTGGTACATAATGATGAATTGGACTTGCCTTCAGATCACATGTCCAAAAAATACTCCTTTGGAAAGCCTTTCAAAGTACTAATACCAGATAGGAAGGATTGGTCTGGCGGAAAAGGACCCATACCCACAGGTGATTTAGAATGCTATACTGATGGTTCTAAGATCAATAATGGGGGCACTGGAGCAGGTGTGCATTGGACAAATGGAGGCACTGGCATTTGTCTTCCAATGGGGGTGTACCCAACTGTTTTTCAAGCAGAGGTCACTGCCATTCTGGTTTGTGCTCGAGAACATCTTAACAAAGATATCAAAGACAAAACAATCAATATCTATACTGATAGTCAAGCGACCTTAAAAGCATTAAACTCTTACGAATTCAACTCCAGGCTCGTGTGGGACTGTCTTGCTTCTGTGTCTGAGTTGGGTAGGAGAAATGACCTTACGCTTTGCTGAGTGCCAGGACACTCAGGCATTAAAGGTAATGAAGCTGCAGACAGATTGGCAAATACTGCCTCTGTGACATCAATAATAGGCCCACAACCCTTCTGTGGCATCTCACGAAACAGTGCATGTTCTTCGATTGCGTCATGGGCCAAGGAAAAGCATTGCAAACGCTGGGTCGATGTTCCCCTTCTTAGGGTCAGCAAGCTTACTCTGTTTAGGCCTTCTAAAAAGGTCGCCTCTGACCTCTTGAGACTAGACAGACGAAGAATTAAATTAACTGTTGAACTGATAACTGGTCATGGAAGATTCAGGAAACATTTACAATGGATGGGCTTATATGATGGTGAACCGATCTGTAGGTACTGTGATAGGTCAGAAGAGACAGCTGATCACTTACTCTTTGATTGTAACGAGCTCTCTGACGCTAGATTGATAACTCTTGGAAATATGGCTACAGGCATTCATTGGGCGCCTTAACTTGTAGGTCAACAAGAAAGCAATTGTCTGGGGTGCGCAATAATTTGATTTCGGATTAAGTGCTTTAAGGTCTCGACCTGCCCCTGTTAGATAAGATAAGATAAGACACTTGGTTTTGTTCAAGGAAAGGATATAGGTCAGGACTTAGAATTGAAGACTAAAGAGGATAGCAGTTGGTTTACCTTGAAGTACAGGTAGACCATAGAACATGTGTAGAAGACACACAGAACACTATATTTTGTCCAAGTGTAGTAAAATGAAAAAGAGCTTACAAAATGAGATTTATGTAAACTCACTTTCACATTCTCTACATTTGACAAAGGGACGAAATACTGTGTTCTGTCTCCTGTATGTTCTATTGCAAATCTGAACCTCTTCAAGGTATGCTAACTGCTCTCCTCTTGATTGTTTACAAACTCTGGGTATTTTTCATTGTACTCGCTTCAAAAATTAAAGAAGGAACCAGAATTTTATATACTCAGTTTCATTTTACTTCGGAAAAATGTTTTTGTTTGAGACGATAAGAGATGTAAACATGTACCTATTGATTTACTACGACAAAAAGGAGAATCGCCTAGTTTAATTTAAGTATTCCCCAACTGTCTTCCAGTGAACATAGGAAATCTCCTATACTGCGAACATTATGTAACCAATTCACAACACTGCAAATATCCAAATACTACTATAATGTTCAATTCAGAACATTTAATTTACCTCTGGTGTTTTTATGTAATTGACAGACTTTGATGATTTGGCCAAACAAGGTCTACAATGAGACTCAGTCTTGGACACAGGTTTCGCCTCTTTCATCCCCTCCAAGTCTCTCTCCCCTCGCTGCAGCATCGTGTACTTACGGTTCAGATCCTCGTAAGCTGTTTGAAGTAATCTGCAATACAAAAAGGTAAATGAAATCATCAAGAAAAAGTTTAAAGGGTGTGTAACAAACAACTTCCTAGATATTTTGTTCAAAATACCCCAGAGACTGAGCTATCCGACCAGAGTTGGACATGACAAGGTCATAGAAGCTGACAGGTAGGATAGCACAAAAATAATACTAACCATTTTGAACATTTACAAAAATCGTTAAATTTACGATCAATCTGCTGTCAACCCTATTCAAGGCTTGTCTTTCAATAAATCATGATGGTTCTGTATACAGTCTTTTAATATAGAACATCACTGTTGCCCTTTGTCGAAGTAACATTCACAATCAAATTTTAAAAATACATTGGTCATAACAATAGCAACTATTTCCCATGACCTCAATAAACTAAACAACTATACTGTGAAACATAAAATAGAGCAATGATATATATAATTCAAAATGTTAGCAACTAGTCTCTTCAAAACAGGGAACATCAGTGTACCTATACACTCATCTCTATTCATACTTGGCTTAAAATATGTACCTACATTCGTATGGTCGCCATTTCAAATTAAATGTTTTTTTTAGAGAGAGGAGGGAAAATGCGTTTACGCACAAAGGTAGCCAGCCTGTAGTGTGAGACTCCTGAATTTATCAAACTACTCACTAAAACAAACCCCCTCTACTCTGTTGGACAAGACCTGGAATTGTTTGTCACATTACTTCAAGTCAGGGTAACATGTGACCTAAGCCCCCAGGGCTCGCACCGTTTCTGGTTTCTGGCATTTAGATTCGTTATGACCTACACCCCAACCCGGTCAAGGTCGAGCTTCTTGGCGCGGAGAATACCCTGGATGTAATGTGACACACAGGTCCAATTGCCCTCACCCCCCGTCATCATTGGTATGACCGTGTCCACCGACAAGAGTCCTACAAACCATTGAGCCTCCAGGAGGGCGTTTCCCAATGCTGTGGACCATGTCTCCTGTTCCCGGGCTAGCCGCATCCTATATACCTCCTTATTGAGAGCCTCTGCACACACCTCCGCACCGTACAAGAATACAAATTGCACCGAAGACATTAATAGCCTTCTACGACTGGACCGAGGCCCTCCGACATTGGCCATCAATCGGCTAAGAGAAGAAACCACCCTAGCGGCCTTGTCCGCTGTATGAAGATGTGATCCCACCAGCTAAGCTTGCTGTCCACCATGACCCCATGGTACTTGGCAGAACGAACTGTTTGGACCTCGACGGCCCCCACCCTCAACAGCACGATAGTGTCGATCCGTTTTTTTTCTCAAAATCACGATCTCGGTTTTACTCAAAGCAAGTGAAAGACTGTGGTCTGCCATCCATGCGTTTATGGTAGGCATTACTCGGTTCAGCTTTAGCTGAGCCAGCTCAACACTGTGCTAGCTATCAAAGCTGCAACGTCGTCTGCGTACCCAACCAAAACAATTTCCTCAGGCATTTCAGATCTCAGAAGGCTGTCATAAGCAACATTCCAGAGGTCTGGGCCGAGTATGGATTCTTGGGCAGCACCAGAAGTAACAGTAAAGTAAAGTATTAAGCATTAAAGTATTTTAATTTTCACCTTCAGCAATAATGCAATGAGTAGGATAAAATAGGTTACATACACAATTTGTCACACTAGTTTGATAACAAACTACTAGTTTTTATTTTTTTTTCATTCTCAACTATGACCGTCTAAACACTTGTTGTCTTAAGTAACAAAGAAAACATTGAAAACTAGGTAAGAGGGTCATAAAACACTATAAAGCATAATTACTCATGACCAGAGCAAAATAATTGGTCCAAACGTTGAACCAATAGCCTGAAAGATTAGGCTAGAGCAATGAAGCTACAAAACTCATCATCTAAATACAACAAAGGTATATACTCTAAGCTATTGTGCACTGGTGGTGTATACTGTTTACTTGTAATCATGTTTGGTGGCATGCAGCTTCTGTTTGACTCCTCTCAGTTGGCTGGTGAGAGCAGTGCTGATCTCCCTCTGTACCTCAATGTTGGGCTGTAGGTGAGCCGAGTGATCACTCTCGTAAACCAACTGTCACAACAACACAAATAACTCACCATGACAACACATGTAAAGCTGGTAAATAACTGATCAGCTTAGATTAGGCCTACTAGTAGTTGGTCTTCTCTCGACCCCTTCTTAGTTGACACTTTATGCTTTACTGCAACTCTCCTTTTTCCTCAGAAACAGTTGAAAATTTCTCAGAAACATCTAAGAAAGTTGACATTATCTGTCAACTTTTCACAAACAATAGAAGCAACTTTCTGGGAACAGATGTTTCTTCTAAGGACAAAAAATCTTTGTATTTACTATATAACCTACTTAGGAGCAAAACTAGTAAATAAATACCCCCGCTGCAGCAAACCTGCAGACTAAGCGATGAATTTCCATTTGCCTGATTGGATTTACACTAAAATGTCTCCTTAAAAATATCTCATTTATTACCAATTTAAATAACATTAGTTTAACGAGTACTTAGGTTTGCTGCAACAGGGAGGGTAAAAAGGTGTTTTTTGTAAAATGTTAATAGCTTAGTATTAAATGAATGCATTTTCCAAATTTGATCAAAATGTATGATCATAAACAAGCAAACTACTACAGTTTACTTATTCTCCATAAGAATAACATGGGAATTTTAAATTTACAGTATTTTGGAATTTTCTCTGTAACCATTAGGCGCATAATAACGCTTCAATATACTAAATCATTTATTTTTTAAAGCTCTACAAAATGGTTTGGAAAGAAAATGCTAAATTTTAAGTTTTTAGGGTCAAAAATGGGAAAACCCAATTTTTGCCCCAAAAAACCCCTTATAAACCCCCGTTCCCATGGTCCGATCATGCTGGTTTGCGAACTCGTTCAAATAAACGTAGGTTTACACGTTTGTACCAAATTTCATCAAAATCGGATGATTTTTGCTCGAGTTATCGCGCTAACGGACACATATATAAATATATATATATGAATTTGAACGGATGGTGTTTTTGGTCTCTAGGGACCTCAAAACGAAAAAGTAAATCGGTCCTGGGTCCAGGTCTTACCATTAGTACTACGGTAATAGCTTATTCCCTATGGGACATTCGCTAAAACAAAAAAACATGGTTAATGTTAGTTGAGTTTGAGTGGAGAATCAAATCATTACCACTACACATTAGGAAGTTTAACCGATCAGTTTTATATTCCTCTACTAATCTCATGAGAATATAGTAAACATCAACTAGAACTTAACCTCCAAAGTATGAATTAATTTCTTAAATAATAGTTTACACCAAGAGGAATTTTTTAAGGTATTTGGACATTACATTAGGTGAAACCTATATAAGGAAATCAATATAATAAGTTACAAGGGCTAAAATGGCATTTTGTTTTTCTAAATGCAATACCGAAGCACAGACAATATAATATGTCTGTGACCGAAGTGTATTATCAATTAATTATCATTCAATGATTAATAATTTAAGATAGGAACGCCACTACCTATGTATTATAATAATAAAAATCAATTTACAGACATTATTGATAAAAACTGTTCTGTCACCAGCACAGGAATTCTAGTGTAGAAAATAGTTCACAAGATACAAAGTATTGTTTATGAATGTTTGCAAATGTGTCTAGAAATATGTAAATAGATTTAGGAATTGCTGACATGACCGACACTGACACACCTTTCCCACAATCCGACAAGCACTTAGCTACATTTCTGCCGACAAGCAAGAACATGGCATTCACAAGTTAGCAATACACGCTGAAGTTGCAACATTCCTGCTTGAATTAGAGAGTAAATTTTAACTTCATTACACGATTAATGAGTTCAATAAAACAATGAAATCACTACTGAACTATTTACTAGAGATTGATGATAAACACTTTAAAAATAAATTCACTGTAGATTGTATCAGTTAATTCAAAGTTTTTCTAACTGGTAAACACAGATTAATTTGCCTAGGTTTAAATTTACAGAAAAAGTATCAATATAATTTTACCTGTTCCGAAAACTGAGCATTGCTCTTTTCCAATCTTTTGATTGTTGATTGCAAACTGGAGTTATTATTCTTCAGCCTACTTATCTCCTGTGTAGCTAATTCCAAGTCTGAAAGTATTGTATCCCTCTAAAACATTTTACAAAAACACAAAAATTCAGAAAAAGTTCATAAAAATACTACAGTGCAAAATTCTTTCAAATATATTCATTACATTACTAGTGTAAAAAGTACTGGCAAAGAATAACCATAAAACTAAACAGTTCAAAAGCTTAGCCAGTTTAGCTTTGAAGTTGAATCTAAAATGTAAGTCAATATAGTTTGGAAGGATGTCTAAGGATGACATGCTCATTTATCTAAGAATTTTATTTGACTATTAAAAAAACATTAGGATAATAAATATGATTAGTAATAATTACCTGCAGCGTTATTTGTTTCATTTGTGTTTTTAAGTGAAAGTTTTCTTCCTCTTTCTTAGAAAATTGTTCTCTTATCTGTAAGAAATATGAATAACTTTAAAGGCTTAGAGACTTCCTCAGTAGTATTAGACACTTGTAATCAATAATTGAGCGAAGCTCTTATACGTCGACTCTTATGCATTTCATAATACGCAAACTCCTCCTAGACGGCTGAATCAATCGTTTTCAAATTTTGCATGGCAATAAAGACCATATCGGTGAGTGCCAACATCTATATGGCGTTAAAAAAGTCTCTCAGGAATCCGCCCCACTGGGTCTCAAAGTTTCAATGTAATCCTTATGGAAGCAGTATTTGACACATAAACAAAGACATATGATCAGCTGTTATCTTTTGAATGTAGTAGATAAAGAAATATCTGATAGCATTATTCCACAGATATTAGAACAGAAACGGTATGTATCATAAATATAATAAAATGACGACACTAGCTTGAGGTCCGTGACGTAGGAAAACAAATAAGGAAGTAGTAAAGGTGAGCAGTCTGGAGTGTGAAAACTGTTTATGACGATTAGATTTAGGTATCTGCATTCGTAAAATTCTATGGGAAAGGGAGGGAAACATGTCCGAGACGTAGGAAGTGGTGAAGGAAGTAGTCAAGGTGAGCTGTTCGGAGTGTGGGAACTGTTTTTGACGATTAGATTAAGGTATCTACAGTCTTAAAATTCTATGGGAAGAGAGAGGAACAGGCCCGTGACGTAGGAAGTGGCGAAGGAAGTATTAAAGGCGAGCAGTCTGGAGGGTGGGAACTTTTTATGACGATCAGATTAAGGTATCTGCAATCCTAAAATGCTATGAGAAGGGATGTAAGCATGCCCACGGCAGAGAAAATGGTGAAAGAAGTAGTAAAGGCTAGCAGTGTGGAGTGTGGGGAATGTTTGTGGCAATTAGATTTACGTATCTAAAATACTAAAATGCTATGTAAAGTGATGAAAACAGGTCCACGATGTAGGAAGTGGCTTAGGAAGTAGTAAAGTATGAGCATAGTGTGATAACCGCCTGTGGCAGTTATATTAATGTATCTTCAATCCTAAAATGCTATGAGCAGGGAAGGAAACAGGCCCCACGACGTAGGAAGTGGTGAAGGAAGTAGTAATGGCTGGCAGTGCAGAGTGGGGGAACCGTTTGTGCAGTTAGATAAATGTATCTAATAATAAAATGCTATGAGAAGAGAAGGAAACAGGTGTATGACGTAGGAAATGGTGAAGGAAGTAGTAAGGCTTGCAGTGCAGAGTGTGGGAACCGTCTTTGGCAATTAGATTAATGTATCTGCAATCCTAAAATGCTATGGGAAGAGAGGGAAACAGGTCCACGACGTAAGGGGTGGTCAAGGAAGTAGTAAAGGTGAGCAGTGCTGAGTGTGGGAATGGATTAATGTATCTGCAATGCTAAAATGTTATGGGAAGAGACTGTAGACTGTATGTTAAAATGATTACGAAGCACAAATCGATACATATTTTCGATACATGCAATAGTTTACAATAGAGATTTACAACTGAGTTGACAACAGCTGATTTTTACTCCATAGAGGCTAAAAACGATTTTACTCCCCAAAGAGTAAAAATGCTACTTTAGACCCGCAACGCATGCGTTAAAAACGACTGTTTTTACTGCAGTATGACAAAAACAATATAATATGAACCCTTGATGACTCCGCTCAATTTTGTGGATGCCTCTGCGAACGCCACCTAGTAATATTAATTATGTGCTATGTCAATCGGAATACAATGCATATTTATTTAGAAACTGTTCAAAAAGTAAACTTTCAAGATCACTTCAATAGCAGTAGCACAATGGTACAATGGTATTTAATAATGAGCAGTTTCAAACTTTTAGAGTAGATCTTAATTGTAAATGCTAAACATACTACATTTTCACTAATATTTGTATCCTCAGTAAAACATCTAATTAATCAATAAAAAACTGCTATTGTCGTTTTCTGTGACAGTGTTAGATATTCAGAGGCCACTCGTGGTGGTGGTGGTGGTGAAGGTGACGAAGGTGACTAGGCTGTGTCAGCACTCAGCATTAGTTCACTCCTCACTGCCAACGTTTAGCAAAGTAACCTTTCATTAGGAGTTGTTTTATTTTATGAACGTAGCAGTAGTTTGCAGTTCACGACTAACATCTGGTTATTCTAGATGGTGTTTATTAAACTCCTTTAAGCATCTTAAACCTTAATGAAACAAAATTGGGAATTAATTGGCTTTAATTTGGGCGATGGTGGTAATGACCAATTAATGAATGAGTGAATTTAATTGTAAAAAAAGGCAAACCTGACTAGCTTAATTCAACCCCATTTTACGACAAAAAACATAACTGTAAACAAACCTACTTTGACAGTTAGTTCTCATTACGTATCACAGTTTTTTGTTGCTGCTTAGTTCAAATTAGCTGTTTTCATAAATGCAAAAAAAATATTGTGGGTAAATCTTATAACTTTTTAATGCTTTTACATATCATAGAACCAACTTTTTTAGTTGAAACAGCTGACTAAATTCTTTAATTCCCTTTAAATATGAATACTCATAAGGTTAACATGGGGGAACTATAGAGCCACTGGACGGAACCCGAAGGGATTTTTGAGATAAGAATATGCCTATATGTTAATCGGGAATGTGAGCTATCATCATGCCAAATTTCAGCCCAATCCGTCCAGTAGTTAATGCGTGATTGAACTTTAAACAAACACACAAACTTTCACATTTATATTATTAGTATAAGATGTGTATTATTCTAATTTAAAATGTATTCAAAACCTCACCGTTTCTCCCCTTTCCTAGTTCATTTTCTCTCTTACAATTATTCTTTTATAATTATTAATTTTATGACAATAATTTAAAAAAATATTTTTAAATGAGGCTAGCAGCACATTATACATGAATGTAGAAACATAACCTGATTTGAGTTCCCGCCTAATGCTAAGCGATTGCCAGACTGCTACGCCGAGTTGCCGCCGCGATGGGCAGCAAAAACATGCATTTGCTTAAACCATATCACGCGTACATTTTACGTCGGATCTTCTTGAAACAAATTTTATTCGATAACTAATTAAATGTTGCAGGAGGTTTGCTTTTTCGGATTTCAAATTTTCCTTTAAAGAAAGCTCCATAAAATTTTAAACTTAAACAAACGTATTTTTGCTATAATTATTAAATTTTTTTTCTAAAAAAAAAAATAAAAAGCAAACACCCTGTAGAATTGAATTCTCTTTCCATTAAACATCAAACTTAATTCTTTGTTAAAAAAATAACGGCGCTACATGGTTCAAAAGATTACATTGTTCTTATGTAGCATCAACCCAATATTGCCGACTGCTAAAGCCCACTCGGCTTTATAATGAATCCTCAACAGCCACCTTTTACCTAGCCCGAGATATTTCGTGGGGACCGATCCGCTTACGGAATTAAATATATAGATATCTATATAGTTAATGTGGGGACCGATCTTTGATCGGTTGTAGTTAATTGGGTTTAACAGTTAAAATAAAACAATGTCGGGAAAAATTTACGAAAAGCATTTTTATTACAAACCATAGACAGATATTTGATCGCTGAAATAATAACGACTCTTTAATGTAACAGCATTCAATTAAACAAAAATAAGATACATTTATATGATCTGGCTTAAGTAGTGCTACAGAAATTTTCTCCGCTCTAGTCATTGAAACCCGTGGTTGTTTGACTTTTACTCTCACTAAACACAGCAGATAAAAATATGATACAAACAAAATAATATTAGTTTCAAAATGGCTTGTGATAACGATTTTTGGTTTTTCAATGCTACTACTAAAGTAATTGAGGTGCTGTCTGTTTTTTTTTGTTTTTTTTTTTGGATTAAGCATACGGTAATAGTTTTATGTCAATTAAAAATCTCAGATGTAATTAGTTTACTGGAATGTGGTGAGGGAGAGGGGGGTGAGGGTTGGTGGGAGAGGGCTAAGTAAGATAATAAATATTTTGTCGGAACTATTTTCCCCTGTATCGAGTAATCTTCAGTTCATCTTAACTATGTGGCGTTCGCAGAGGCATCCACAAAATTGAGCGGAGTCATCAAGGGTTCTTATGATATTGTTTTTGTCATAGGCCTACTGCAGTAAAAACAGTAGTTTTTAATGCATGCGTTGCGGGTCTATAGTAGCATTTTTACTCTTTAGTGAGTACAAATAATTTTTAGCCTCTATGGAGTAAAAATCAGCTGATGTCAACTCAGTTGTAAATTTCTATTGTAAACGATTGCATGTTTCGAAAATATGTATCGACTAGCTGTACCCGCGGGCTTTGCCCCGTTTTACTTCATTAGTGAGCTCGTTCGCTTGGCTCAATCACGTCCTGGTTGAAGTTCGTTCGCTACGCTCACTCACCTTTAGGTTGGAGCTCGTTCGCTGCGCTCACTTTGCCTTCAGGTTAGCTCGTTCGCTACGCTAACTCGCCTCCAGGTTGAAGTTCGTTCGCTACGCTCACTCACCTTTTGGTTGCAAATTAGCTGTTGTCATAAATAAAAAAAAAAAAAAAAAAAATAGTGCTGCACCCTGTTGGTAATCCTTGTAACTTTAATGCTATTATGAACATCATAGAACAGAACCAACTTGTTTAAATGAAACAGCTGTTAAGATTCATTAATTCCATTTAAATATGAGTACTCATAAGGTTAACATGGGAAACTCCAGAGCCACTGGGGCGGAGCCCGAGAGTCCGATCAGAATAAAAACAACTTAGTTTTCCTATTTAATGCCTAAAGAATCAGTATACCGAATTTCAGCCTCCTAGGTAAATGGGAAGTGGGAGAATTAGTGATGAGTGAGTGAGTGAGTCAGTCAGTGAGGGCTTCGCCTTTTATATATATAGATTCGTGCTTCGTAATCATTTTAACCTACAGTCTACAGCCTCTTCCCATAGCATTTTAGCATTGCAGATACATTAATCCATTCCCAAACTCAACACTGCTCACCTTTACTACTTCCTTCATTACCCCCTACTTCATGGACCTGTTTCCCTCTCTTCCCATAGTATTTTAG